ATAATACTATCCCGACATTGTAAGTATTTGTTCGTGAATTTATTTTACCTTCAACAAACATCAAAATTCTGATTTTATATGTTACGTTATTTAAAAAACATAAATGATGTATCCTCTATATGTTACTGACTTACTAATACTGGTATTTTCTTATTAATAACTTCCTCTTTCAATATTGGTAACCAGATCCTACTACATTCTGCCGAGGAATTTGCGACACAATTGGCCTCATTTAGCATAATTAGAGCCGCTTCTTTGATTTTTCTTTTTTTACCATCCGTTTCTTTTAGGACTAGATTTGAATTATTCCATTTAACCCTATGTTCATTATCCCATGTGTGTTTACATATTTGAGATCTATCAAATTCTCTGTTTTTAATATAAGATTGATATTCACTTATTCTAACATTCTAACACGAATCAATCTTTTGATTAATCTGCTTAATAAAAATGTTACAAAAATCTCTTATCAGTTAAAAATATACCCAGTAGGTATATGTTTTTTACACTACGTTTTTTTTTTGTGTTTGGTTCTGCTTGATTTGGTGAGGAATAGTGGTAAAAAAGTTCGCTGCGTTTGGGTTTTCGCAAAAGCGTTTTAGTTGCATAAGATCTAGGTACTTGGCTTCGTTGATTGGAAGATAATCTGAAGCAAAAACTTATGATTAAAATCTAACCTAGGCCAAAAAAAATTAATAAATTCTTACCAGAATAACTCACAGAAGGAAGTCTAAATTCGATTTCTGCCAATTGAAGGTGTTGCGGTGTCTTCTTGTTTGCTTTAGTTATGGGGCTATGTAGCCAGTGACCATTATAAGAAGTGCGGTAAGTAATTAGGCGATAATTTTCCTTTTTGCAAAAAATCTCTCTTACAGGTTGAATAGCAAATAAACATTTTGGTGTAAACTCTGGTTGCAAAAACTGCTTCCAGTTTCTTACCATATTTTGTTCAACTTCAATAACTATAAATGGAAACGAATTCTTTCTTGAATCTCGAATCAACTCGTACCATTTATCCGGCAACTCCATTCTTGTTTTGAGGTTTATTAATCCCATATTTTTGTCACATTCTAAATACGAGTGACCTCGTATGGGAAATGTTATTTGGATGTAATCAAGTCGTTTGACCTGATGTATCATAAAATGCATAAACCTGAACATTGTGAAATTTTTGTCCTGCCCTCCAGCAGAATCGCAAAAAAATGTGCAAACTTCTAACATCATTATCAAGGTGATTTATTATAAAATCAAAAAGAAAAGAGATCACTTCATTGGATCCTTTCCTAGCAACATGTTCAGGATAAGAATAAACAAAATGACCTCCCAGAAGCTAATACGTGAATGTTAACCCTCTAGCCGGCAAGCGTTCTTTAAAGAACTCGTCTTTGGAAAGCTGAAAAACCTATACCTGAATATTACTATCTTTTAAACCTATGCCGTTCCGTCCGTCAACAGGTGTTTAACATCTGCTAAAAGGATTAATGCAATCGAAAATTTGGTTTGTACGCTGCTATCAGTATTGTTCGAAAAGTCAGTGTAGATGCATCGATAATTATTTGTCGAAACGACCTCGTGTTCTATCAAATATAATTTGTATTTCGAATATCCAATTGACTTGGGAATTTTTTTGGTAAGTAACATTAATATCTTTTATCAATAAAAATTATTAGTTTGATTACAGAAAAAAACAGTTGTAAAAAATGTTTGACAAAATGAAGCGTTCTTTGAAGAACGCTTGCCGGTTCAAGGAAAAAAAAATAGTAAACTTATTTTTGTTTTTTTATTTTAAAAATGGATTTTTCACGTATGAATCGAACAAAGCGATTTAGATTGGAAGACTTCACGGACAAGCAAATACAATAGCTCATGGATTCGGTTGAAACAGATGAAGAAACGGATTACGACAGTGATGATAGTGTCAAAGATCCCACTTTTGTTGTGAATGATATAGAAAAAGACGTCATTGCTGAATGTTTTAATGAAATGGAAAATGCTGACACTACAGATCAATTTCTGGACGGATTACAAATAAGCGCCTATGATGTTCCTTCTGCATCTTCTACATTTACGGGTAATAATGAAAATTATGATGAAGTCAAAATAGATATTGAATACCAAACTAAAATTAGAGCTAAAAATAAAGCAGAACTGCAAACATCTACATCTTCAAGTAGGCCAGCAAAAAGAATGCGATCACCACTTCCAATTCATGAAGAAGATGCTCCATTGTGCCATCAGCTGGTGGTTTTATTGGCGCAGGTAGAGAAAAAAACGTTACTGTATAGTAATTTCAAAACTAATAATGTGTTTTATTATTTTTAGCACTTGATGCCATTCAAAAAACTGGACCGGAGATTTCAAACATGACATGGTGTAAAAAATCTATGCGTCTACATGTAAATGAAGTTGCCTTTCTTTGGGATTCTTAACTGCCTCCGGAAATGAAATGCCTCAAAACTCCTATGGAATTATTCAACTACTTTTTCACCGACAAAATTATTGATTTGATTTCATTCAATACCAATCTGAACGCACATGGAACAAACAACAGCAGTCAACAAAAAAAATAGGTGATTTAGTTTTTGTTATTAGCATTATGGAAAGCTCAAATGTAGTTTATAGAATACCATGCCAAAATTGTGATAAGTCATACATCGGACACACATCTAGAAATCTAATAGGTAGACTAACATCACATAAAAGTGACCTTAGAAATAATAAAAATACGTGTGCATTGATAGATCATGCAATTAATAATAATCATTCATTTAATTTTAATGAAACTAATATATTAAGACGTGAAAACCAATTAAATAAAAGAGAATTTTTAGAAATGGTATGCGTAAATAAATATCAATGCGTTAATAAAAAAAACTGATATTAACAAACTCAGCAATATCTATAATTACATTCTATCTTACGAAAATTAATACTTTAATTTTCTAATATATGATTTTCTGACTAAAATACTATATTTTCAAAAATTTAAATATTCATATTTGGCGCCACTTTTTACGTAAGCATAATAACAATCTAGAGCTAATTATCAATAATAAAAACAGACACGAGTGTCTTTCTGACATAAATCAAACATTATTATTAATCAATGTCATAATATATTCAAAATTAAAATATTGTACTTACATAAAAATATAATTAAAAAAAAATTAATAATGTTTTGTGAATTTAATAATTTATTGGTTTAACCTCATGTTGTAAGTTTTTATATTAGTTTTATACATTGTTTTTTTAATTCTAATTTCATTGTATTTACCATAACATATTTTAGCATATCCTGATGAAGCAAATAAATTTTGCGAAAGCTTGATTTAAGAACAAAGAGTTTTACTTATGCTGCCCTACTTAAATGACTGCATCCTCAAAATAAAACTTTATTTTACATAACGTGTCAGTCAATAATACCTAACTACTTTATATATATATATATATATATAATATATATATATATATATATAATATAAAATTAATGTTTCTTGGGTTTAGGTTTAATAAAGATATGTTACATGTGGAACTAGATTTTATTTTCCATTGCAATCAATCAACGTTTCGGCAGGAAACCCTTGCCTTTGTCAAGATTCAAAACGTAAAGTATTCATATGTCAGTTCGTTAATGTCTGTGTCACGTTTTACGTTTTGAATCTTGACAAAGGCAAGGGTTTCCTGTCGAAACGTTGATTGATTGCAATGGAAAATAAAATCTAGTTCCACATGTAACATATCTTTATTGAACCTAAACCCAAGAAACATTAATTTTATATTAAATATAATACGGTTCAAGAAACTCAAAACTACTATATATATATATATATATATATATATATATATATATATATATATATATATATATATATATATATATATCCATTCATTCCAGAGTTCCCTTTTTTGTCGTTTATGGGGGAACCCCATTGTCTAGACTTCGCATTTATGTCCCCGGCGATCAGTATTTGTTTTTCGTTTATAGCGGCACCCATTATTTCATTAACGATTGTTTCGTATCTCATCATAGGGATATTCGGAGATACATAGCATGCTAGGAGGCAGAAATCCCTCAACCTAATGAGTAAATAATTTCCTCCCCTTACAATGCTCTGCACTCCGACATCCCTATTTTTAATGAGCACCGCTACATCTTTTCCCTCGTCTTGAATCCACTACCTAATGTCCCCATTGCAGAATCTTCCAAACAGCAGTTTTCAAGTAAAATATGTACAAATGGCTTGAAGTTCAATTGGTATTGAAAAAACATTTTGTACTATATTTTGAAGATATTTCCAATTTTAACATGTGAAATGAGATGCAAGTTACTTTTTGTTCAAAGAATAATAACAGCTTGTGTTGTTTTATATAATATTGCAGTAGTTAATAGAGAAAGCATTGAAATACTGGTAAATGAGGAAGCTATTGATAATATAGAACAAGTACTAATGAATATACATCCCACAGAAGATGCTTTTATATGAAACAGACGGTTACTTTTATAAGCAGGCTTATATAGCTCAAGCTTAAATGGTTAATGTTGATAATTCGATTCTATTGGAATGTGTTTGTTAATAAATTTATAAATAAATACATTATATTGATGACTGATTTTAAGTATCATTAAGTACCTATGTTACATCACATTCCATTAAAAGTTAAAAAGCAATTATGACTGTGAATGAAAAGCCCTATAGGGTCTTTCATTCAGTCATTTGTTTCGAGCTTCTATCATGTGTCGCATAATATTAATTATAACTACGTCATAGGCATATACCAATGATGCAAGTCAAAGACATGATGTAGATATATTAATATTATGTGACACATAACAGAAACTCGAAACAAATGACAATTGATGAAAAGGCCTATACAAAGTAAGTGATTGATGTGATCGTTTATGGATAATATTTAATTTTTTCAACTCCTACATTAAACACAAACTAGTTTAAAAAAATATTTATTTATTATAACATACATTAATATTTATTTATGAATAATTATTCATTCTTGTCCCTTAATTTATAAGTCCTTAAAAATAAAATTTTACTTAAATTTTCATGATTTAGTCTAGTGTGGCGGTCACCTAGAACATATTGAGCATCTGAAAATAGTCTTTCACAAGGCACAGAAGTAGCAAGGGCACAACATTTCTGTTTAACCAACTTATTCAGGTATGGAAAATTATACTGATTGCTTTTCCAAAATGTCAGTGGATTGGCATTTGTTTGTAAGACATCATCTTCCAAGTAGCGCGGTATTTCCATTATTGCCCGAGAACTAGATGGTGTAGTCTTTGGTTTATTTTTCGAAACTTTTTCGTGAAGGCAATTCAATACAGATAGAGTGGTAGACTTATTTTCATTTCGATCTTGATTAGAAGTTTCTGTTTCTGTGTTTTCATTTCTTTTTGCATCTTTGGTAATCATTTCCGTTACAATATTTGTGACTAGTTTTCGAATAGCCTCAATAGCATCATTATTGACAAAAGCAAATGTTTTAAAGCGTGGGTCCAAGAATGTACAAAGAGCTAAAGTATTACTATACTCTACATTTCCCACTCTTTGTCTTAAACCATCTTCTAAACATTGGATTATGTCAATAGTAGGCTCAGAAAATGTTTTCAATTTTAGTTTTTCGCATACATTAACAAGCCCTCTTTGTAAAACGATTACCAAAGATGCAGAAATATAAGTTTCTCCACTAATAGATTTTGTGGCTTCTTCGAAATGGGTCAGAACTTCACAAAGCTCTTTTATTAGGATCCACTGATCAGCTTCAAGAAGTGGCAACCGGTCATCCAAGAGACCCAAAACAGATCTAACTGGATTTTCCAGTTGCACAATTCTCTGCAACATGTAGAATGTGGAACTCCGTCTAGTAACCACTTCCTGAATCAGTTTTTTGGGGGGATCAATTCCAAATTGTTTCTGGAACGAATTTAGTTTAGTATTTGCAGAGGCACTTCTGCGGAAATGGGAAACGATTATTTTTACTTTTTCTACATTTTTGATCGCTGGTAGAGCAAGTGCATCTTGGACTATCAGATTTAATGTATGGGCAAAACATCCAAAAAACTTCCACCCTAGTTCAACTTGGATGGCTTTTTTAATGTTAGCGGCATTGTCCAGCTAAAGCTAAAATGATGTTTTTTTCCAAGCCCCATTCATTGACAATTTCCCGAATCCTGGCTGCCAAATTTACTGCTGATTTACTCTCCTCGAATATCTCACAACTAAGGAGAATAGAATTAATTTTAAAATTGTCATCAATGTAATGACAAGTTAGCGCCAAATAACTTTCATTTTTTTGTGAAGTCCAGCAATCTGTTTTAACACAACAATTACTGACTTTTTTCATTTCTTTTTTTGCCTTTTTGAAACAAGTCTCATATTCTGCAGGAATCATAGTCTCAGAAATCGTGTGGCTATTTGGCAGCTTGTAGGACGGATTTAAACCAGAGACAAATTTTTTAAATCCCCGATCTTCCACAATGCTAACAGGTTGATAGTCAAAGATAAAGATTTCCAACAAATCATCATCATATTTTTTCTTTTGGCTTGCATTTAACTTTTTCGGTATATATGCAGATATAGTACCTTGAATGTTTCTGGTTTTGCTGGAAACGGAAAATACACCACAGCTTGACACTGGCACAGAAGATTTTCCATTGCTTGAAGTTGAAGGTTTTGAAGTTGAAGCTCTAGGAATATTCTCTTCGGTTCGCATATTTTGTTCTTCATCAGGGCCATTATTAATTTCATGGATAGAAGAAGGTAATCCCGATGTTGCACACGTATTAGATGCCACGACATTAATGTTGATGGTAGGATGCTTCCTTTTAAAATGTTTTTTTAAATTCGAAACTGAATGTTTATAGTATAACTTGTCACTGCAAACATCACATTTGGCTATGTTTTTCTCTTCGTCGATAACGGAAAAGTATAACCACATTACACTTCTTTTGGACATCTTAACTACAAACTAAGAAAAGAAAACTTAAATTTACTTCTAAACAAAAAACCCAAACTTACCAACAACCAACACGTATTGCTTTTAACAAAAAATTGTATAAGAAATTAAAATTATAAAAAGTGAAGTCAAGTAGAAAAAAGCAAAGGCAAATCAGTGTAATAATAAAAAACAATCTTCTAAAAATTAAACATATAATGCACAACGAAACGAAACTGAAACAGCCGCTGACAAAACTGCAATTAATCAAAAATTGGATGGAGGGAAAGGGCGATGTGTAAGTAGGGATTTTGTACAGAATAGAAACCTTTTCAACTTGGACAGTGGTGCTAGAGATGGCATTTATACAGATCGGGATAGTTCCGCAGTGTAGGTACCTATTTGGGTTAAGGTCGGACTAGGACTTGGAACTGATCCATGGAACAGGTATTTTTTTGGACTGGATCGGTTTGGAACTGATCCGCAAAATTTGTTGAATTAGCCATCACTAGTGGGTAGATGGGTAGAGACAGTTTTTTTTTTTCATCTTTTATTTTTAAACTTATGACCAGGCGTCTAGTAGCTAATCCTGGTCGGATTAATATACATGCAATTAGTTAATTAATATTCCTATTGTTTATTTATAATTAAAATTAAAATTAAAAACTAATTATAAATTTCTAAACCTAATTGAATAAAAATACAGGTCATATTCAGCTAACGTAGTTATTTGTTGCTTTTACGTTCTACATATACGTCTAGCTACTTCTAAAACAACATTCGGCCTCTAAAAATGTTAGACTACACCTACACCTTAAAACTACTACCTTCACCTAATTAGTTGATTATATTATTAGTGTGTTGAGAGAAATTCGGACCGCACTTAAGAACGTGAGCTGCTTACCCTCAACCTTGGGTGCGCTTCGTTTCCTTCAAGCATGCTTAAAATAAGACTTATTCTATCCTTAACTGCTAATTCATGCGGTTTGAATCCGCCTGAAGTGGATGGAGAAGACACAACTTCCACATCTGGCAGTTCCGGTGAGCCTCGGGCCCTTAGTCCAGAACATTGTCCAGATGTTTTCATAGTGCCTCCTCGCCCCACCATCATACGAGGTGCAGTAACATCTCGAAGAATTTTGATGTGTATGATTATTATTACTTATATGAACTTATCTGATTTGATAAGTGATAAAGCATGTTTCGGTTATATATAGCTTTTATTTGATGTTTCGCCTTCGTTCATTATAGAGATCCAGTTGCTTTCTGGAAACTCTATTGGCTAGTTCGTTGATACAATCGTAGAGTTCACGTTCCTGAAATATCTCCTGGACGGTTTTCCCCCGGAGTCGTTGACGTAGACCTCTTACGTCGTCATATATTGTGCAGTAGAGCAGTGCATGTTCAGGAGTTCCAACTTGTCCACATTCACATAGATCATCCTCCTTGAGGTCGAATCTATGCAAATAACTAGGGTATGGGCCATGTCCTGTTAGGAAGTGTACTAATCCCGGCTTTGGATTGAAGTACGCCGGGATATTCTCCAATCTCGGTAGAAATTGGTAAAGTCGCCTACCTTTTGTAGACACTTCCCACTCAGCTTGCTACTTCCTTATTATTTCATCATTAATTTCTCTTCTTGTGTGCATTTCTACACCAAGAAGTTCATTTATCTTACTAAACTTGCTTTTCCTAAGCCAATAAATGCTTCCTCCTTTTCTAATTTCTAAGTGAAGTGGCAAGACGCCCGTGAGCACAGTTAACGCTATAGTTGATGTGGTACCGAAAGCTCCCGTCATTCTGACAAGGAAACTTTTCTGCGCCCTATCAACTTTTTCACTGTTTTTCAGGTTCTTAAGTCTATGTGCCCACGTACTTGCCCCATACCCTATTATGGACGCTAGAACTGTGTTAAGGTATACCCTTACTTGACGAAATATAACTCTGTAGTCCCTTTGCGCCAGGTTCGCAATGCCATGCATTAACCTCGTTGCTTTCTCACAGACGCTTGTAATGTGTTTGTTGAAAAGCCTAGACTCATCAGTGATGATTCCCAGGTACTTTGTATTGTGTGCTCTATGGATAGGCGTCCCCTCAATCCTTATTATCGGATCTCTTTCCAGCCTACCCTTGACCAAACTATACACTGTCTTGTTACTTGAAATCGAAAGTTTAACTTTCGACGTCCAAGCTCCAATTCTTTCTAATACATTGTTTGTTTTGGTTTCTAGTTGTCTTCTATTGTTTGCATCTATGACTAGCAGGAGGTCGTCCGCATAGGCAACGCACCCTAGCACTTCCGGATTTTCAGACATTTCGTCAAGCAGACCCTCAATCATGAGATCCCAAAAGATGGGTCCGCATACTGAGCCCTGAGGGCACCCCTTTGTTATATGCCTGGTCTTCTTGGCATTTGGACAACCCAAGCTCGCGTATCTGTCCTGACAGTAATTCCTGAAACTCCCGTACAAGTCCGCTGGACACCGCATTTTCCGAAGTCTTTCGAAGAAAGCAGGCCACCAGAGATTGTCGAAAGCTCCAGAAATGTCTATGAACACCGTCAAAGCGTGTTTCTATCCACTACCGTCGATTATCTCGTACATTCTATTAATAGCGTCTTCTGTTGATTTCCCGCTCCTGTACCCATACTGGTCCGGATGCATGCCATTTGTAGCTCTGAATCGATTTAATCTTGCACACAGTAGTTTTTTATACAATTTTCCCATAGTATTTAACAGACATATGGGTCTGTATGATTTCGGTAATGTAGGATCTTTATCCTCTCCTTTGCTTATTATCACGACATCAGCCTGTTTGAACATATTAGGGAACTTCATCTGTCTCAGACATTCATTGTATAGAGCAGTTAGTGCAGGTACTACCTGTTCGTTAAGAACTTGCAGCAACTCCACCTGTATTCCATCAGACCCAGGGGCCTTTTTCTTTTTCATGGTTTTCAGTTGTTCGAAAACCTCTCGTTCCGTGAAATCCTCTGTTCTCGGCACGCCAGGAGCCTTGTATCGTCGTATCATCGCTGTCCTTATTAGTGACTGCTCTTGTGTCTCGTTTTCTGGATCATCAGGAGGAAGAAGCACATCCAATAATGTATCTGCTGATTCCTCCCAATTCTCCGTCATCGAGCCATCTTCTTTCAACATAGTTGAAAGCATTGTTGGACTTCTAATTTTGTTAGATACGATCTTATACGGGACTCCCCACATGTCGAGTTCAAGGTTCCTGGACACGAAGTTCTCCTTCTTCCTTGACTCTTCTATACTGTTCAAGAAGTACTTGTCTCTCTTGGAAGATTCCACATCGCTGGTAGCGCTTTCTTGCGCTCCGAACTTTCCTTCTCTTCCTCGTGAGGCTTTCCTTCCAGGCTGTGTTCGTCACAGATTTTACTGTGGCTATTTTCGGAATAGATATGTTCATTGCAGCTTTTATTGCAATTGTTAGTTGTTTCGCTACATCATGCACATTACACCCTCTCAGTACAGGTTGCGGCGGATTGAATCCAATTTAATTGCTCCCAATTGGCTTTGCCTATATTGTACCTCTCGGATGACTTGAAAGTTATTTCTGACGTCTTCATTAAGTCGAAGATGATTAGGTTGTGATCACTAGTGGTCGCATGCTCTACAACCCTCCAGTTTTGAACAAGGTTCGCTGCCCGCTTATTCGATATTGTAATATCTATGTTGCTTGCAGCACCTGCTCTATTCTGGAAGGTTGGCGGATTTCCTGGTAGATTGTGCACAATTAGTTAAAGTTCATGTATCATGTCCTCCTCTAATGTGCCCCTCTCATCCGTGTGTTGTGAATTCCATAATATGGATTTTGCATTTGCGTCCGCTACAATCACAACCTTCTCACTTCGATATGCTATCATGATTGATCTATCTTTTCTATATATGGTTCAATGTCATCGTTGAACTGACAATATAGGTTCGCCACTATGATTTTGCAAACGCAGGCTCATCGCTGAACTGTCTCAGCAGGTGGAGTCTCATCTCTCTATTGAGCAGCACTGTAACTGCCATGGGATTGTCACCTATGCTTGCATTTTGTGCAGTAATGAGCATAAACTGTATTTTCCCTTGCTTAGTGTATGCTTCTTGCATACAGATAATGTCTAGTTTTTCTTCTTCCGCTGTTTTCCTGATCTCATGAAGCACTGTTGCGCTTCTCATACAGTTTATTTGCCCAATTTTAATTTTCACGGATGCCTGGTGTGTATTTGGCATGGTGGCCATTTTTGAGCATAATCCGTGGTGATTCTCCCATACGTTTTCACGAAGTCACAGTACAGCTCTTCTAGGTCGAATACCTCTCCTCTCCTGCTAAAGACTTGCTTTAGTAAGAACAACAGTTCGTTTGCGTCTGACGGGATGTTTGAGCATCTTAGCTGGATTCTATCCACCGTGTCAGGAACTGGAAATGTTATTTTGTCCCCTTTAGGATGAAGTCTTCTGACTACATGCCTCAGGGCCGCGACTAGGATGGAAGATTCCTCTAGTCGCGATAATCTCATATTCTGCTCCATATTCTCATACAGAGCTAGAACATCTTCGTTCTTAGGCTTGACTTCCTCTTTTACGCCATTTTCGGTGTCTACAGAATGCACCTTTTTCTTTCTCCTGAAAGACAATAATCGAAGTCTGTCACGAAAACGCTTTGACGGCGTTTTCGATTGTCCTTTCGATTGCATTGATTCCTCTACTGTTGATTGCATAGAGCAATCACTACGATCGAACTTAGCTGCCATAATCTGTTTTCTG